CTGTATAATTTATTTATACGAAGTTCAAAAGAAGCAAAACTAGTCTGTTGTTGATAGAAGCAAAAATATAAGGCCCTGGAATTTGATATAAAGCGGACGAATATGGAAGATCTGTTGCTGAGGGAAGCAAGTCAAGCTATGAAAGAGAGACATTGTGTTTCTCCACTTAACATATACCGACTGTCTACACTCTGTGGTAGAGACTGAAAGACTGGAGAACATAAAAGTATTAAAAATTTTAATGGACGCTAGAGACAAAGTAGAAAGAGAGTGTGGGAGGGGAAAAGCATAGGAAAGGAAATTGGGGGGGGGAATAGAGAGGTAAGACACTTGTGGAACACAGATAAGGTTTTTTTTATCTGTTGACAAGGATGTGCATAATAGTCTCAACTAGGCTGGACTGAAAGGTATATCATGCTGGCTAAAGTCTCTTCACAATCTGAATGATATATAGTGATTTAATGTATGAATAATGATAAAAAATTTTAAAGAAGCAAAAATAATGATTATTTGAGAGTAGGGAAGTAATTTCTGGCAGTTGGGGCAAGGAAGGGCAAGAGAGGGGAACACACAAAGAAATTTTCTGTTGTATTACAGATATTCTATTTCTTGATTTTGACGACTGTTAATGGGTATATTAATATGTTAAAATTCACTTCATATTCATAGTTCTAGCTCTTGAGTCCTTTTACTAGCAGGCTGCATGGATGCGGAGGATGCGGAGGTTGATAAAGATGTCAGTGGAGTCTCTGGCAAAACCCAGTATGTGAATCACAGGGTAGGCTGCTGGGATCTGCTTAAAGGACTTTCCAGCTACAGCAGGAAATGATACACTTTTCAAAGCACAACCCTGAATATACTACGGAACCTTGGTAGAGACTGATGATAGGGTGTCAAGGAGCCATAAATCCACAGTTATCTATCTTGAGCTGAAGTGCTATTAGACCCACCAACTCATGAGACTGAGTGGTCACAGCACCCATATATGCTGCAAAGGATGTGCTGTGTCCTAGGGCAAGAGCCAGTGCAGTAAGCTTGATGAACAGTTGGCCCAGATCCCCACATCACCTGTCCCTAATACTTCTTCAGCTTAAATATACAGTCTCCCAAGGGTCCCTTCCAGCCAGCTTACAATTTAGTAAATAAGCCAGGTATAGTCAAGGAAAATGGCTATATTTCATCTATCCCTCACTCAGGTGTGGTGTCTTAAAGGTAATCCATGAAGGTAAATCTCTCTATACCCATAGCTGGCAATTCACCTAGTCATCATTTTTGGAGAGAAAATTAGCCTAAAATGAGATATGTAGCTGGACTCCTGGACATAGAAAAATGATTTGAAAGGTTAGTTCTGTGCCTGGAAGGAACACAATTGGACTATTGGGTGAATGGAGGTATGAGGAGGAGATGTGGGAGGGAGCACCGAGACTAAAGGTCTGTGTATCCCTTGAGACATTATTGTACAAGAGGTTTTAAACCATCAAGCACGAGATGGCTTAGCCAGTAGAAGTCAGCCCGTCTGCTCTCAGAACACCAGTGATTACATGGTGAGCACACAAAGGCAGTAGCGATGGTAACAGAGAGAGAAGCTGCATGACTTCAACAGCACAAGCTGCCCCTCACTAAAGCTGTTCTAGGCTGTTGAAGTTCTGTCCTGTTAGCAGCAATGATCAAAACTGTGTGCTCAAGATGGCACTTTTCTCTCAAGGAGACTAGTAAGTTAGGTGGTGGCATGCTAATTACAACAGGTTCCTTTCACCATGGTACATCACGATTACCAATACATATTCCAACAATTGATTTCCCTTTTCTGTATGCAGTCCTTGGCCAGACCTCCACTAGAGGCTATCAGAGCTTCGGATTTACTGACAATGTCTTGCATGATATAATCTTAAATTCTATAGACCCATTTCTCAGAAAAGGAAGTGACAATGGGCTCTTCCCATTGACAAAGAAATGACTAAGCAATTCGTTGGTCCCAACATGTACTGTATTACTCAGCAATTGCTTACCTAATATAAATTGTGACCTGACAGACAACACTAAAGCACTGGATTGTTGAAGACACCCTGCAGAAGTGGAATGTCTTTCTCCAATGCACTATGGACTCCATGCAGTATAAGCTACTCTGCTAGGTAGAAAACATAGTTCACCCCACACATAAGGGCTGAGAGAACAGAAGCAGGACCCTCCCCATGAGGGCAGGAGATGACACTGTCAACAAGAGAAATTTTTCAAATGTTAACTTTGCTTGACCCTAGTGTCTCATCCTTTCTTCTTCCTGATGGTCAATAAGCCCCAGAGCTTGTCCAACATGAATCCTTAACATGAATGCTCAAATGTCTTCAGACCTATGTTCAAACATGAAGGTCTGATTTTCCATTTAAAATAATCTATAATAATAGTTAAGGCCCTGGAATTAAAGTTGATTCCCCTAGCAGCTGTAGAGTGGCTGGGAAGCCAGACTACATTAAAGGAAGTATAACTAAAAATTAATGTCAAGATTTTATTTCACTGTCAAGCAATAACCAGGCATGGATCTTTGCATCTCCCCAGTGCCTCCTGAGTGTTTGGGGACTGAAATAACATAGAATGTATCAAACCGTAACAAATGAGTATATCTGAGCAGCTATAATAGCCATGTGACCCTATAGCATGGTGGTATATACTGCATTTTAGTTATGAATGCATTACCTGTCCTTGCCTTAACCCCTAAACCCCTATCTCTATGGCTTCCTTAGCAACGGAGATGCAATCCTCTGCTTGATAGAAGAATGGCAGCAGTTAGCATGGGTTCTGCATGTCTCACTAGGAACCAGGCTGATGCAAATGAGACCTGTTATCTCACATGCCACCCAAGACTCCCATGACAGTTGGGAAGGGAACATTGGAGGCGATAAATTAGGAGTCCTTCCCTTTTCAAAGGCAGCTTGAAGAGCCAAGGTCCTGCCAGGACAATCCTCACAAGAGTATCAAGGCTTCTAGCAGCACCAGTAAGTTGAACCTACTGCAGAAATGTTTGCCTTTCTGAGTGAAGATATACCAGGGTCCTTATTCAACAATCATCTCTACCTACCCAGACTTAATTGCCCTGTGAGTTGTAGTGCAATGCAATATAACAGCATTTTCATTACTTGTTAACTTTTACTGTTGCGCTTTACTATTATATAAAAGTACATTTTTACTCTTTGATGCTCAAATTATGCTCATTGATAGTTTTGCTAGGATGAGTAAAATAAATTATAGTTATTAGTATTTTTTTAATTAGTATGTCACCTTATTAATATAATCAATATATTATTGATTAGTATTGGCTGATACCTATGTTTTAAAGTGAAAAGATAATGTGTGTTCACGTGAATTTCTAGCCAATGTTTAATATTAACAAAAAAAAACTTTGTTTAAAAAAATTAAAAATAAAAAACTAGGCTTAAAAGTATCACATACAAAGGACCAACAGGTGGCATGGTGGTTAAGGCACCAGACACTCCCACGTGGCCAACCACGGTTTGAGTCCTGAACTTGGTGGCTTGTTTTCTCACTCTCTCTCTCTCTCTCTCTGGTCAAAATGAAAATAAATAAATGTATAATATTAAATTAAATTAATAATTATTTTTTAAAAGTGTCACATACAGAAACAAATCAAGTAAATGTATACAAATGCTTATTTAACTGTTATACACATTCTTATGCAGCCACACAGAGTCTTATCAGGAGCAGGAGCTTAGGATTTTAATTACTCATAGCTCTACCCTCAGAATAATTTAAGGTCAATCACAGAAAATAACAAGTACCAGCAAATCCCTTCATCTTACCAGCCTGAGCACGGTACTCACTGTTGGAACGGTGGTAGGAGAGATCCTCTGCAAATGGGGTGACTATTTTTTATTATGTTATTTTATATTTTCTTAATTACATTTAATAGAATAGATTTTTAATGGGATTTTAGTTTTCTTTATAACTTCACGGTCACTTAAAGATCATTGCTTATCCCTGCTATCTACCAGAAGAGATGATTTTACATCAAAGATGAGAGTAAAATTTAAACAAAAAGAGTAACATGCTTGTTTTTACATTTTTACATTTACTGTGGGATCATAGAGCTAGAAATATGACTTAGTTTAATTTCTCAGAGAATTCAAATGTATCTCCTGAAGCATTTCTCACAGAAGTCAGTGAGTTATTGTCACTCTGGTATATTTAATCTTTCCTTTTTCAGAACAATAAACCCTGATATATACACCAAAATCTTAAAACTGTGTTAAATTTAAACTGGGTTATGGTATGTCTAATCTTAGTATATCCTGAAACCTTTGAACTAGAAATTAGTTTAATAGAGTTTTTTTTTTTTTTTGAGAGAGAGAGAGAGATTTTTACTATTGGGCATGTAGGCTCACTGGAGAGACAGGAGAGAGAGAGACAGAGAAACAGAAAGCTAGAAACAACCCCCTACCCCTCAGGGGGCGATGGCCACGTTGTAATCCCTTCTCCTCTATTCTTTGCCCGGTATTTTGTAGCTTAACAAAGTTTTAAGATTTTGGTGTATGTATCAGGGTTCATTGTTCTAAAAAAAGAAAAAAACAGTAACTTTGACTAATGTAAGCAAAGAAAAGCAGGATTTATTTGAAGAATATAGGGTAGCTCAGAGAATCAAACAAAAACTTTGTACTAGACTTGTGACAAAGTATCATGCAATAGTAATTACAAAATGTTAGCCTCCATTGAAAATATTACCAACATAGAAAAGAAAACATATGTGTTTGTGTATGTACATATATTTTTAAAACTTTATTTTAGAGTTACAAAATAAAGTTTTTAAAGATTTTTTGAAAAACAGAAAACTATCGCAGTTGTCTCTGAACATTTTTCTACTTCAAAAAAGAGCATCAAAGAAATGTATTAAATCTGTTTTTAAATACTATCTCTTTCTCAAGAAATTATCTTTCTTTCTTAAAGCTTCTCTTAAACCATGAACATTAACTCAATTTTGTTGTCACAGGGAGATGGGAGGCAATATGACATCTATCACAGAGTTCCTGCTACTGGGGTTTCCCTTCGGCCCAAGGATTCAGATGCTTCTCTTTGGGCTCTTCTCCTTGTTTTATACCTTCACCCTGTTGGGTAATGGGGTTATCCTAGGGCTCATCTGCCTGGACTCCAGACTGCACACCCCCATGTACTTCTTTCTCTCACACCTGGCTGTTGTTGACATTGCCTATACCTGCAACACGGTGCCCCAGATGTTGGTCAATCTCCTGAATCCAGCCAAGCCCATCTCCTTCACAGGCTGCATGACTCAGACCTTTCTCTTTTTGGCATTTGCTATCACTGAGTGTCTTCTCCTAGTGGTGATGTCCTACGACCGGTATGCAGCCATCTGCCATCCCCTCCGATACTCTGCAATTATGAGCTGGAGAGTCTGCATCACCCTGGCAGTAACCTCCTGGAGCATTGGCATCCTTCTGTCCATGATTCACCTAGTGTTACTTCTACCTTTACCCTTCTGTAAGCCCCAGAAAATTGATCACTTTTTCTGCGAAATCATGGCTGTTCTCAAACTTGCCTGTGCAGATACCCACGTCAATGAGAACATGGTCTTGGCTGGAGCCGTGTCTGTGCTGGTGGGACCCTTCTCCTCAGTCGTAATCTCATATATATGCATCCTCTGTGCCATCCTTAAGATCCATTCAGGGGAAGGTCAAAGAAAGGCCTTCTCCACCTGCTCATCCCACCTCTGTGTGGTTGGGCTCTTCTATGGCACAGCCATTATCATGTATGTTGGACCCCAATATGGGAACCCCAAGGAGCAGAAAAAATACCTCCTACTGTTTCACAGCCTTTTCAATCCCATGCTCAACCCCCTGATCTATAGTCTAAGGAACACAGACGTGAAGAACACGTTAAAGAGATTGTTGGGACTAGAAAGAGCTTTATGAAAAGGATCACACCAATATGGTTGACAGAAACCTAAGGAGTTATTATTTCAAGAGGTTCCTAACCCAACTCAGCATGAGAATTACCTGAGACATTTATTAAAAGCAGGGCTTTTCCTACCTTTAGATGACTGCTATGACAGGTGTTGGATGAATTCTAGAAATCTTCAAATACTGTCAATAGCAAATCATGGTGCACCTAGTCTGTGTCAGGACCAGGATGTGCACACCACAAATCTAGGGCAGTAACTTCATAATATCCTCATTAAACTGTGATCAAAACCATATCTCCCAAAATATTTTCCTCAAGATATTAGCCCAATAAGTGAACTTTAAAAAAATAAGTTCTTCATCAAATACATTTGAGAATTACTGAATAAGGTTTTTCTTTAGGGCTCATGATTTATATTAAAATAGCAAAAACTATACACATTCCTTTGGTTAAAAATAATAATAATTAATAATAATAATAATAATTTTATTCCAGTTGTTCACTAGCGTTTTCCAAACTTATTTGGTAATAAGTTTTCATTAACAGTTTGCTGGAAGAGATCTTGATATTGATTGACTTATTGTAAATACAGGTTGCAGCCACTTTGAAGAACAGAATAACTTTTTCCTGAAAGGTTAGTCTCTCCAGAGGACACAGTACAGTACCTTCAGCCAGCTTGTGGGGATCTGTGCTCTGTTTGGGTATAAAAAGTGAGGGCCATTGTCTCTATGCAATGATGGGTCATCTGGAACTAAT